GTATTCTGCCTGGTTCTTTATATAAAACATTTTAACCAATAGTGCAGCAACATATTCCTATAGCACATAAACATGTGCTCTTTAACCTTTTGTCATCAAACTTTAATGTCTGACTTTGAGTTGTAATCACAGCTGACATCATCAGGACACAGTTTACTAGAATCAAATGTGCTATTTTCCAGGAACTAAGATTCTGGTATTTCTTGGTATGATATATTCTCCATTTGTCTACTACTTTGTCGACACCCTCATAAGGAAGATATTTTAACAAAAATGCAATCTGGCATATATCTTCTATTGACCATTATTCACTTTTACTGATAGATGCAGTGTCTAAAAATCACAAAACAGTCTACTTTTCATTTGCAAGATGAACAGTACTTCGAATGCAGCCATAATGTAGAAATCTTTTGCACAAGAAAAAAAAAATTCATTTTTACACTCTCTGAAATTATTTTATTTCAAAAAAGAGATTCCAGTTTCTTTTGCACATCATGGCCAAAGTCAATGATTTTCAGGATGTTATATGTATTTTTCAAGTCTATCATATAACTTAGCATATACTTTTCAAGTCTATCATATAACTTAACTCTGCAATTACTTCAAGTTTAAAAAACATTCACATCATGCTAAGAATAAAGATGACATTTCATAAATATATAAATATGAGTAAAAAACGCTTCCTCTTGCATTAACTTTGTCATTCTGATAAATATTTGCATTACAGATTGCAGAAACCTCATTTCTGCTTCAAACAATTTTATAGGATGCTATGTATATGATCCAATCTCTCAGAACTGGGAACTGCTCAGTGAGATGCACAGCGGGTTTTCTAGGGTAGGTACCCCCTATTAGGTAGGTCAATTATGTACCCCCCATAGTCTTTTACACACTCAATTCTCTCAAAGTAGAATACTTGAACAAATAGAAAATGTCTGTAGAGAAAGTTTCAAGATTTTACCAAATGATTCAAGAGCTTTAGAAAAGATATTGTGGCATTATGGATACTACAGGTACCAACATAAACAAAAGAGTCCCTCATTATTATTGCCTTACTGTCCTTACTTAATTTCTTATTATATGTTTGTCAATGTGGACATTAATTATTAACAGGACAATTATACTGGTGTTAAGCTTTTTACACAAGAATTGAGGAAAAAGTTCTTAAAGAAAGTCTGTTTTCTTTAAGAACTTTTTCCTCAATTTTTGTGTAAAAAGCTTAACACCAGTATAATTGTCCTGTTAATAATTAATGTCCACGTTGACAAACATATAATAAGAAACATTTTACACATTTTATTTGTTCAAAAAAAAAGGGCTAAAAAAGCCTACTCTATCTGCTTTACCCCCAGACCTCATACAATCATACAAGTTCTTGTTGGCCCTGCTCTTACAGCAACTTTAAATATGAAGTTCTTTTTATTTTTTTAATTTTACTTATTTTAAATTTAAGTAAAGGAATGATTTATAATTTACCATTGTAATTTATTTATATACACACATGTTTTATCTTTACCTTATAATTTTAATTTTTATATATTACAAAAATTTCATAAATTTTATACATGTATTTTATTGCTTTTATTTTTGGTCATGTGTTTTATGTTATGTTTATATTGCTGAGGTAATAGTCACATGCCATATAGCATTACTTAATAAGCCTTAATAAATAAACCTGAAATGTAAACATAAATTTGATTATTGAAGACTTCAGTTGCAAAGATAGAATATGTTTTACTTTGTCATGAGTTCACATAAAATTTAATAAATAATTTAATGTAAATTTTATAAATTTTTCTTTTTTTACAATATTGTTTGACTATTTTTATTTCTCAAAATGTTTATATTACTTAAAAAAATAAATAAATAAAACCTGCTATTTCCAAGGTTTATATCTTTATCATACTAGCATTTTTGGGTTCCTACAACCCATCTTCAGAGATGTTAATAGGCAAAAATGAAAAAAAATCATATATTTGGTAAAAGTAATCTTTTTTTTTTTTTTTCTAAACAAATAATTTGATACAGGCATTATAAATTTTTATCATTAAATTTTCAAATTTTCTGCTGTTATTTTTTTTTACAAATTTTTAAAATAATTCTATTTGATGTTTATAGAAATTTGCAAATTTATTCAACGTTTTAAAAAATAAAAAATTATCATCATATAAGAAATTCTTGCATACTTATATTTACCTGCAACTGTAAAAGATTCATAATTATCTTGTGCTTGTTTTGTACGTTCATCTGCTTCTCTTCTTATATTACGAATCATTTCAACAGTTGGTTGTATAAATGGATAAAGCAGTTCACGGATTTCTTTTCTATTTTCTTTCAATTTTTCAAATGCATTTCTATAAAATTCTTCCTGCAGTATCATAAATTTATATAAGATGCCAAATATAATCAGTTCAATATAAAATAAATTTCATTAAATACCTGTTTCTTTGATTGTTTTCTTAAAGATTTAATAAGAACATTTATAGGATGATTGCGATCTTTCACTATAGCTTCTATTTTTTCTGATAGAAGAACAAGCCTAGGATGAAGTTTCTCTGCTATTTCCATTGAAAATTTTAAATCTTCATATCCTTTGAGTGAAATTGTGAAAGGTGATAATAATTTCAATGCAAATGCAAGATTTTCTTTTACTTCTTCTGGTTTATCCTAAAATTTCCCAACACTTGGTTATTTTAAAACATTTTTAAATTATTGGGATAATAAAACATTACTAAAGTATATTAGTATGAATATATGATTATATGTTGTTGAAGCATACTTTTAATTAGTTAATAATTATATTTAGTTATAAACAAGGTTCTAATTTTTTTCTTTAACCTTTATCAAAATTGCATAAATAACTAAATGCTTACTGTATGAACATGAGTTCCTACAATAGAAAATCCACTTCCATCTCTTGCAATATCTGTTCTGTATTTAATATTCTTAAATCCATCTTCAGGAACTTCAATATTTAATTCCATATATGGAGTACTTGTGAGTTTAGACGAATAAGTTATTTCATAACTAGGCAATACATCTGTCTGTCAGTGAATATACAATATTTTTAAGTAAAATAATAAATTTGAATAATTTGATAAATTTCAAATTATATACAAAATATAAATAAACAAAATCAATATTGTATTAAAATAGAATTTTAAAAAAATTGAGTATATAATGAATAAATTTCCCAGGAAAGTAATAAATAATATAAAAGTCGGAATTTTCTTTAAAATAAAAGGATTAAAATTGTAAAAAATCATAAAAATTTATCATAGAATTTAGAATAGAAGAAATTAAAAAAGAGATAATCAAGAGCGATTTAGGATTTAAAAGTTGTTTTGTGTTAGAGAAAAGTAAATGCAGAGGGGATAATACAGTGAATAATGCCTAAAGTTTCTCAAGATGTAAAGAGAAAAAAGAGAACAAAGAAAGAACAAGTTTAATATTTTAAAGATTTGAAGATGTTTGAAAATAAGTTGTTCTAAATAGAATATTTCCTGAGGCGGTTGATGATGAGAAATTAAATCATTTTAAAAACATTTTGACTGTTAAAAACAAATAGCTTTTTGATTTAAGGTTTGTTGTGTATTGACAAAGAATATAACATTATATGGTTAGGAACTTGATATGTATGCAAGACATTTCAAAATTATCCATATACAGGGTGTCTGTTAAACATTTCAGAACTTCTAAGAGAGGTAGGGTGTATCCTGACGACTCGAAATCATATAGCAATGCAGGGTCGGAAATGCTTTCCTGAAGTGGTGATGTACACAGAAACAGCTAACCTCTGGTGCACGCTTGCAAAGAAATTATGGCTGGGAATATGCCTCATTGGATATTGTTCTGCGTACAAGCACTGTGTGGCTAGCCCACTACAATCTGCAGCCCCGTACACCAAATGCATATCGGCTAACTCTGCTTCCTTGTGCGAAATGACAATTTCCTGCAAGAATGCTCGGAACTTTTGTGCAACGCCATCTACCACTTCAGAAAAGCATTTCCGACCCTGCATTGCTATATGATTCTGAGTCATCGGGATGCACCCTACCCATCTTAGAAGTTCTGAAACGTTTAACTGAGACACCCTGTATAGTTAAAATATTTATATCTGATGAACTATACAAATGACTTTTATAAATTTTTTCTCTTAAGTCTTGAAAACATACACACTTTTTTTTAGTTATTAATTTTTTGCAAATATCTATGAGAAAGATGGAGAATATGCAATTCTAAGATGTTACTAGAAATTTGAAAATCTCAAATCAAATTTATAATCAGAAACTAGAAACATTAAAAAATGTGTGAATCCTTGATAGCATTTTTAAATAATTATTATAATCAATGCTAAATGAAACAAAAGTTTCCTGATTGATGGAAATGAGAGAACTTGCTCTCTATCCTTCTAATCTCTTGACAGTCAAACCATTATGTCTTGCAAAGTATATTAATCACACCATAAAATGGAAAATGCCAACAATTTTTAATATTTTGAGGAATGATAAAGAGAAAGTAAATCATTTGCGTAAAAACAGAGTTTATAAAATTCCAATTTACAAAAAATTGATGGATCAATTGTTTGAGTATGTAGCATCAACTAACACTTGTGAGAAGATTAGATTGTATCACAGAGACATTAAGAAGTTGGAAAGAAAATACAAATGCCCTGGATAAAAAAATCATGTTTCCTGGGGGGCAATGCTGCAAGTCCTTAAAACTTTAAGAGCTGAAGAAATCCACTGTATAGAAGAAACATTCTTGATTTTTGAAAGAAGCTTAAAAACAACATAATTAATTGAGAGATTCAGGTCAATTAGCAACATCATGGAAATTTTAATTTTATTATTGATCTATTATGGTACTTACTACAATCTTCTATTGTAACTTCAACAATAGCTTTTTGTTTACACTTTTGCATTTGCAATCATACAATAACAATAGATCTATCAGGTTGTAAAGTTGAAATTTACAAATTTCAATTTTTTTATAGAAATGACTGAAAAAATGTTTTGAGACATTCAATGTGGATATATAAGTAGAGTAACCTAAGGGCATTTCATCACATATTTCATTGGAAATAGACACATCAGCAATTTTTGACAATATGAAATTCATTAGAACACATTCATTTACTATTGCTCTAACACCAATGTGGCCACAATGTAATGAAGGCTCACAATCTCATCTGTAAAGTGTTCATGGGTGAACAAAAGTCAACCAACTATTGCAAATGTCAAAGGGTTGATACTACTGAAGAAGGCATGATCTGCATTTGTTTGGTGTTATCATGATAAAGCTGCTTCCAACTAATATCACTATCACCAAAGAGCTGTACTGCAAACAACTGGATGGTTTGTACATCAAGATTAAAGAACTTCATCCAAAAATTGACAAAGTCCAATACTATCATGACAACATGCCAGCATATAGAGCAAAGATGACCTTCGAGAGACTGGTCAGTCTGGGCTAGGAGGTTCTGCTTCATCCATCTTACAGCCCAGAATTGGCACTGATTAACATCTATTTTGCACCCTGCAGAACCATATTACCAGTATGTAGTTCAATGACAATACATGATACTCAAGACTTTCTTCAAAGAAAAACCCCCAGTCATTCTATGCTCATGGGATTGAAAGTTTGCAGTTAAGGTGGTGAGATGTGATTGATATTGATAGTGATAATCTACAAGGATTAATTGTAATCATTGTTAAGTTACTTGTCAATAAAATTCATTCAAAATGTCTAAATTTTATTTTTATAACCTGATATTTCAGCATCGCTGTTGAGGAGTGTTGTAACTTAAAAGTACTAAGATGTTTTATGTTTTAAATTTAATTATTTCTCCATTAAAATATTGTTTTCTTATTTTTATTTGAAATTATATTAAATTAAAATAAATTAAAATGTAGAAGATATTTTTTTGATTCATAGGATAAAATGTGAAAGTTTATTTATAAATATTTCTAAGAAATGTGTAAATTTTACATATCAGTCAGAAATATATGTAAAATTTTTAATAATAGATGATAAGAATTTATTAATAATACCTTGCTCTTTATATGATATTTCTTATCATAAAATGGACCTTCAAAATCCATTCCAATTTTTCCTTCTGCATCTATATTAATAGCTGGGTGACTAAAATTCATTGTTTCCCATCCTTCTAAATGACGTTCAAGATAGAATACCTCTGAAACAAAATAATCAAAGAAAAGTAAAGTTAATAAATAATATTTTTAATACTTTAAATCTATATATAAAGAGTATTCCAATAATAATGAAACTCATGATGAGGATATTGAACAACAAGCATTGTAATCTGATATCCAAGATGACAACACAGCAATTTAAAATACTGACCATTAACATATATTTAGATAAGTTTCTATGTATAGCTTTGTTCAGTCATCCATTAGTTATCATTATTTTCAATTTGTATATATATATATATAATATACTATATAATATATTATAATATATTTAATCATATTTTGATCTAAACACAAGAATATGGTATCAATAACAAACAGCATCCAGAAAAAGGCATTTGAATCAATATTTTGAGGCTATTGGTTTGCTAAGACTAACATATTTTATTAAGAAGAGAATTATTTAAATACAATCCTACTTATTTTAAAAACGTTGTTTTTAAAATAAGTAGGAAAGGCAGGGTCATTACTTTTAGAATACTCTGTATTTCAGATTAATTTGAATTTACCTTAATTATTTATTATATTAAGAAAACCAAGACATTTAAATATCAAATTATAAGATAAACGAAGCAAAATTTAAGACTAGTGAATTGAAGAAATGTTCTTTGGCTTAATGATTTTAATTAGACTTACTGCTTAAAAACAGTTATTTCATTTTCAGGTCTATTTAGATCCAATTAAAAATACTGATTAATTCTATTTAGTTTTCAATTTGAATTCAAATATGAATCACATTTAAAATTATGAATTATGTTTCATTTGTAATACTATAATATTTTATATAAATTTAATTAGGCAAAATTACTTCATATACAATGGAAACTCAATTATCCAAAACCAAATTATCTCAAACTAAATATTATCCAAAATGATTAAAAAAAAAAAAGAATGTGTAACATTCCAACTCTCCATATAACTGGAAATCATTACTGTCCTGTATTCTCATTGTGGGTTCTGATAAACTTAATCTTGCATTGTTCCAATATTTTCAACATGCAGGGAACTAACTAAATGTGAAAAAGTGATTGTGACAATATTGTATATTGATGCCTTCTTTAATAAAAGATCATTTATGAAACTTTAAATGTATAGTGCTTGATATTATACCCAAAACAAAAACAAGAAAGTTTCTTGGATTGTTTGAAATTTCATTTATCTGAATCCATCAAATTCAGATAATTAAGTTTCCACCATATCTTATTTCATTTATGTGCAGTGTAAATACAACTTTAGTTTTAAAATTTTAGTTTAAAATAATGGCTACATTACTTACGACGAGTCTTAGAATTAAGCATATCCCATTCAGGTGAATTAGTATTTATGTTAATTTCCAAATTATAGGCTTTAGTTCTTGGTTTACATTCTAATAGAATTGTAGAATCAAAATTGTAAAATGAAGACTGGAAATCATGCTTCAGATCTATATATTCACACTTTTCCTTTTCACCCCATAGAAGGTTAAGATTATAGTCAGTTTTCTTCTCATTACCACGATAAATAGCATCATTATGCATTACTAAAGTTTTAACCCAATCGTGCTTAGAACCTGTCACAGTTTTAATTTCTCTTCGGATATTAGCTAATGTATCAACTCCTGTAAGTGATAATTCAGATCCTACGGGTGTCTGGTGGTTACTTTAATAAAAGAATATTAAATTAAAAATGTTAATGCAAGTATTAGGAAAAATATTATATTTAAATTTTAAAATACAGAATATAATAGTTATCATAATAACTTAAATTTTTATAAATTATTCATAAAACAACATAAAACAATTGTAATTATTATCTTTTATAAAATATAAAACATATTTTTCAATAAAAAGATAATTCCTTATTCTTTAAATTTAATCTTAAACATAAATCACATGATTAATCCAGTGATTTAGATGTAAGGCTAGCTATATTATAGAATTTGACTTTTGATTATATTCTATAACTTAAAGATAAATAATTCTTCAGAATTTTTTACCTTCAGTATAAAATTAAATATCATATCTTATATACAATGTAATTCAGATTCTTTTTCATAATATTAATGTTTCTAAATCTGCAATATTAATTGTAAATTGTAACATTTAAGACAAACTAATGTTTATATTTCAGTATCTATATTTATCAAATATCTTTGGATTGTGACAGTCTGATAAATTTCAAGTGAAAATATTTAGCTTGAATTATAAGATCAATCTAAAAAACTTACAAAATAGTAATTATATTAAGAATTACACTTTAGAAGTCTTGTTCTTAAAGCATTTCAAATAAGATGTTTCGATTTATATCAAGACTGATATAATGAAAAATATGCTTTAAAAATTTTTTTAGTTAATTAAAATGATTTGTAATCAAAATAAACATTAGAACAGTTTTTAGAACAGCTTGTGCTCAAAAATTTAACAATAATTCTCTCAGAAACATGGAAAGAATCCATCATATTTTCACTGACTTGTTTATAAATTATATTTAACAATAATTTTATTGTTTTTATATTACTCTCTCTTAAACTATTTGTTCTCTAGAATTAAACTAATCTGTGTGTGTCACCATTTAATTTGATAAAAATTTTATTTTATAATGTAATTTTATTATTTACAGTATTTTTCATAAAGAAAAATGAAATATTTTTTAATAAAGTGCTAAACAGTGTTTATAGATTATATGATGATAATTTTGAGAGATCTGAAAGAAGAAAAGAATAATTGAAAAAAATGTCAGAAAATTATTTGAATATATGCATATATTCAAATAATGGTTGAAATTATAAATTTAATATATATTAAATTATAAGCAAATATTAATTAGATAAATGTAACAATTTTTGGTCATTTTTTTCACTTAAAAAACATGAATTATGAATTTAATATATATTAAATTAATTTAATCATATATTTATATATATTAAATTCATAATTCATGTTTTTTAAAAGNCTGAAATCGCACCAAGCACAATCTTCGAGACACCGCTCGATCGTCAGTGTTTTCTGTATTGTATTGTATTGTGTTATTGTATTGTGTACCTATTACACCTGTGTATTTTACCTTTATATTATAATTAATTATGTATTTTGTAACACCTATATCTATCTGTATCTTTATTATTGTAATTTGTTATCACCGGGTAGTGCTCACTGCGGAACCCGGCATGTACCATTGTGTGCGTTAATAAAGAAAGAAATGAAATGAATGAATGTCTTTGTTTAGTAATAGATTCCTTAATATTGTTTTTGAATGAGATAAAGAAACATAGAGTTAACCAATTTTACTCTTATGTTTTCCTCTAAACTTTTTTTGACAAAATAGTGAGTCTTTTTAATCCCACATTAATAAATCAAAGATGAATTGTATGTATATTAGTTAGATGAGCAATAACACTTTCTAAATAATGGGATCATTATATCATTACTTCTGATTGGATAATTGAATGTCATGTGGCCACTACAGAAAAATTTTTAAAAAGATTGGTTATAGAAGTAACGTAATGCAACAATCTTTTTTAAAATTTAAATTTTAAATTTAATGAAGTAAGTTTAAAATATACCATTTGCCAAAATATTTAAAAATGAACTAAATGAGATCAAATGTCACTGCAACATAAGTGCAATTACTAATCCTAAATCAATAAAAAGCTTATTCTATAGCTAATATTTCCACAAAATAAGTAGCCTATACTTTCTATCAGAACATAAAACTAATATAACCAAAATTCCATCTGAATTGGACAAAAATTGCAGAAGTTATATGGAAATCACACACACACACACAATGGCTTTTACATTATTAATTACTTTGTATTAGAAAAATTTTGGTATTAAACATGTTATTATTGAAAAAATATATGAACCATTGAAAGCAAAAGTAACTATGTTGATGCTCACTTTCGGTTCCTGACAACATTATTTATATGTTTGCTGTAAAGAAATAGGAATATTTACATTGTTTACCGACTACAATTTCTCAATATAGACAAAAAGTGACTTACACTGCTTTCACTTTCAATAACTCATATACAGGAATCCTTGTTAATTCAAACTCAGATAGTTTGAAATCCCATTAGTTCATAATTGTACTTTTATTGTTAAGGAATTCAGTTAGTTCAAAATATGGCCACTTTGTAATTTGAAGTGAAAATTCTGTCTGAACTGTGGTAGGCATATGTTAACTTGTTCATTTAGATTGAAGTACCTCCATGCTATAAGAGAATAACAGACCAAGAACAACTCTAATCTGGTCAATATGACTGCTTTTACAGTAACACATTTCCAAATGTTACCTTACCCATGGACTACCCTTGTTTTTCTTCTTATCTCATAAAATATGGCTGGGTTTCAGAATTGCAAGATTGGGCTACAAGTAGATAATTGAGATATTTGTAGAGTTTTAGACTTTTGGACAACTTACTACTTTTTGGGCAACTTTAAAAATAATTTGGACTACATTTCAAAGAATTCTGCTTTACTTTTTATAAAACCTATCTGGGACCTATGAGGTTCTCACCAGACAGGTGCTGTTTACCTGCAGTTTATTTATACTATTATTATTAACTAATGATAATAGTGCTCTGTATAAGTAGCCATATTCTATTTGCTTAATAAATTACATCAGTTACATGGCATTTGGCATGTTATAGAGAAATATGTAAATCATGGATAATTCAAAATTGATGTTGCAAATATTTTTCTTCTGAATTTTGAACTAATGAGGATTTCCTGTATTTATTCATGGATGTCTGTAACACATCACTATCTATTCCAGAAAAAGTATTTATTGTTTATGCCACTTCCAGGAATGCATCACCAGCATAAAATGTGAGCAACCTGCACTATCAATGTATATTTTATATCATATATATATTACTTACATTCCAAAAATGTCAAATGAGCGTGGTTTATCTTCATACACCCTTAATAAATGGCCTTTTACAGTTACTGATTCTTCTTTATTTTCATTTGGAAACTTTAAGGAAGCATCTATGACTGTTTCAACTCCTGGATAACGTTGATCTTTATTTCTGATGTAATCAGTTTCACGCAGTTTTTGTGGTAATAACTGATTTTCTACATGTTTGTGCTTCATATGTCCTTTATATTTTATGTGTACTTCTTCTAAATCAAAATTATCCAATTGAATTGGCACACCAACCTAAACAGTTATTATTAAAGAGGAATGTTACTTTATGTCTTCATATAATCAATAAAATTTTTTGCACTTATTCATTCTTTAATAAAGAATAAATAAATGTAGTACTTACGTATGATTTTCCTTCTTCAGTTTTTGGAACCATTCTATATCTAGTATACACAGCTGAAGAAGAACTTTCAGAATCACTAATTTCTCTTTCTGCTTGAATATCCCAAGAATATCTTGGAATTACAAGTTTAAATTCATGTGCACGTTTCCAGGTTCCTCTAGCATTGAATTCTGATCGGTGATATGATCCATTGATGAATGACTACATCAAAACAAAAATTGGATTATCTGAAGTGATTTTAACAGTACATTATAATATATTTAAAATAATTTTTAAAATAAGTTTTAAATAATTTCACTTTAAATTATTTTAAAACAAACTTATTCTGAAGATTTAATTTTTTATAAACACAAAATCAAATTACAGAAGCATTTCATTATTGAAATTTTAATCATTTGAAATAATCCTAACAGCAAAGAAAACTGTTATAAATACATTTATAATTAATTATCAATACTAAATTATTCAGCATTAATTTTAATTCAGAAAGTGAATTATTTCAATGAGTTATTCAGGATTGAGATTTGCAAACTTTTCAACAATACTTTTAATGTGTTGTACAAATTTTATTTTGATTTTTGACTGCAATACTGAAGACAATTTGATCTGAGAAAAAATTACACAATTCTCCTCTACCTTTCAAAAGTACAATACAATCTTGGTAATCTGGCCATTTGATATTTTGAAAATATTTAGTAATCCAATACTAGTTGACTCTTGAGAGTTACTGGCATTGTTGCCAAATGCTCTAATGGGAAGCTTGTTGACATATAAGCTTCCCATTAGTTAAAACTGCAGTTCCCACTAAATTTGAACATCTTCCTTCTAAATATGGCATAATGCACTCCTCAAAAGTGAAATCACAACACCACAAAGGAATGTGCGTAGCCATATGCATATTGCAGGACTGGTAGAGGTGAAAGAGCTAAGCAAACAATTAAAAGAACAAAGATATATAACAGATACTTGTTTATTCAGTAATAAATATGGCTCCAGAGGCAGTTATATAGGCATACTATCGATGAAGCAATTAATAGTTGCCTGAGGTATCCTTTGCCAAGCTGCATCTACTGTGGCACACATGTTGTCCATAGTATGTGGTGGTGGTCCTCAGTACACTTCACATCAGATGAGGTCCCACAAATGTTTGATGGGAGAAAGATCTGGCAAGGCTGCTGGCCAGGGAAGGATGTGAATTCTGTTCAAATTGGTGAAAGTTTGCTGTTTGACATGTGATAGGACATTATCTTACTGGAACACTGTGCCAAATGTGGCCTGCACCAGTGGCCGAACTACAGGCCCACAATTTGTGTGACATACTACTCTGTTGTCATACTACCAGAAATATGCACAGGGCTGTCTGCTGATTGAACATGATGCCTGGCATGACACTCGACAAAAATGGCTGGCATGTAACATTTCCCAGGATACTTCCAAACTGTCCACAGCTGTCATTCCTCCAAAGACAGAAGCAGGATTCATCCATAAGCACTACCTGATGCCATTCAGTGATCACGTTGCAATGATGAGGACATCATACTAGGCATGCATCCCTATGCTAAGAAGTTAATGGCACTCCCATTGCTATTTATTTATTTAGCATATGGCTACATATCTAGTTAGTAAAAAGAGCAAAAAAACACAAATTACAAATGTAAATCTAAATCAAAAACATAGTTCAGAGCACTTTCAGTCACAATCAGGAAATCTCTCAGTTTCCCAGACAGAATCTTATTGTACTATCTTCCAAAATATGACATATAGTCTGTCTTTCAGCACCACAATCACACTGTGGGGATGCAACATTTTTTCATTTAAAAAGATTGTCTCTGCATATCCCATGTTTTGTCTGATTCTATTCAACATACTCTAAAAATTCATGGATAACTCAAAACCAGGTGCTTGCTTTGCAATACAAGGGAATTGTTGACTTTCCATTGGAGAGACATCGACCCATAGCCTTTTCCAAGATTCAGTAAGGTTGAAATTGCTGGAATTCAAGGACTTAGCTCTTAAAAGAGAGAATGTCTCGATTTAAGTTGATTTATGTTGAGGTCATTGATATCCTGATGAATTGGAAGTTGTGGATTGCACAATATTTTCCTATATTCCCTGAGCAGAGCATCATTCCTTCGGAGTACAGGTGGAGGATATGACTCAAAATAGGTAACCAATCAATAGGAGTAGATTTAAATTAATAGTACCTGTTATGATGTGCAGGGTATTATTTAATTGGGTGTCTAGTTTTTAATGTGAGCACTGTTCATCCATACTGGTGCACAGTATTCCGCTGCAGAGAAAACTAAGCCAAGAGCAGAGATTCGTAAGGTAAACACTGAAGACAGTGCCGGCCCGAGGCAAGTTTTAGGATGGAGCGAGATCCTATTATGGCGCCTCCCTTGGTTGCCCTTAATTTATATCCTTTAATTTTCTTTACCACTGAGGCGCCCCCTAGGACTTAGCGCCTGGAGCGTCTGCTCCGTTCGCCCTATGGTAGGGCCGGCTCTGACTGAAGAGCCCCATGTAGTTCCACATAACTTTTGGAGGATGTTGTTTCTGGTATTGACCTTGACAGCAAGATTCATCAGATGTGTTTTTAATGACAGAGTCCTGTCCAAAGTGACACCAAGATATTTCAACTCCCATTGCTGGTTGCCATGCATGCAGTCTGACTTCATGCAACCTGTTGTGAATGGTTTTGGGTGGATACAGATGCACTCATTGACAGCAACAGGACTTGTTCATCATGTGCTGTGGCAAAGAGGTCTCAATGGGCTATTCGGCAAATCTGTGTGCTATGTCATGTGCCAGTGCAATCCACTCCATCTTCAGTGTGTTTGCAGATGTTACTACATCCTTTGCATCACACATCACTGGATGGTACTCATGTTGTGCCTAACATGTGTGGCAACTGCATATATTGACAAATTGAGGTTGCAAACCTCTAGGACACAGTCTTGTTCCCCAGCCATTAGCTGTAGTATTCAGCTCGCTGTTGCCTCAGACATTTTCTATGTTTTTTCGAAAGTTTGACTGCTGTGAACTATTGCTAATAGCATTTAAGGCCCAAGCTGGCTGCTGGTTTTTCTAGTCCAAATGTACCACATGACCCAATGTATACACAAACTTAATCATTTGCATATCTCTGTCACCTCTACCAGTCCTGAAATTTTCATGTGGCTATGTGCATGCCTTCATGGTATTATGATTTCACTTTTAAGGAGTGTATTAAAGAATGTCAGGTTTTTCATCTTTGGCTGCTCAAAAACATTCAATGTCTTATAATAAAATACAGTATAAATATAAAAATCAGTACACTAAAATTTCCCTCAAAAGTTCTGTACCTTTCACTAAATTTCCCACAGTTGCTTCAATTTCCCACTGAACTTAACTTGCAACATGCTTACTTACAACAGCAGCACACTTGAATGTTTTGATCAATAGTCCAACTTGCGTTTGTGACTCTACACTGACAAATTCATTTATGTGTCATTAAATTCATCTTACTTCCAATAATTGAGCAATCTCCTTAATCCAATACTGTTTCAATACCAGATATGTCAGATTATGAAAATTGTACTGTACTTACTTAAAAATGATGAAATTTATAGTTAAAAAACATTCTATATGAAAACCTTATATATAATATTAGAAATATTTTATATATCATAATATTATATATGTAAATATACACAATTTGTGAATCTTATACTTAGTTTTGTCTATAATTATAATATTTCATATTCTCAATATTGTTACTGAAGAAGTCAAAATTGTTTGTTTCAGTACTAAATTTAGTCAATTTTTCATTCATTAGTCTAATATGTATGAAAGGTATCTACTATATATAATTAATTATATTACTTAATATATCCACTGACACAATAGGAGAAACAAGTCACAATGTGATCAACATTTTCAAACATACATTTATCTTTCACATGAAAGGACGTAAAATAATTTTAAAATTATTATTTAAATTAAAATTCTTAATATAACTATAATTAAATCCATACTTAAAACAAATTGTTACTATTCAGTTGTAAGAATATTAAAATTTTAACAAGATAATAGATATATTATATACTTATTTAAAGTTAAATTTAAAATAATTGAAGTACATTAAAATTACATTAGCTTACCAAAAATTTACCACTTGGTTTTTCTAGAACAGTAGCATTAGCCTGAAGATGAAGATTTTCAGGTGTTTTCATTTTATGAGTCACTATTTCAACAGATCTCTTAGGAGAACTAAGTCTGCCAATTGAATGGCGATGGAAACGGTCCGACTCTCCCTTTTCTATTTCCAATTCTCCTTCAAAATGTAGCCAAGCTTTTTTATCTGTTTCCCACATTGAATCTGGAAGATATTTAGCTGGCCACTTCCATCCATCTGCTAAGCTAATTAATGACCAAAGAATTATTTTAAATTATTTTATAATTAATAAATGTATTTAAAAATATATAAAATTATTACTTTTCATATGTTAAAAGAGCTTCAGCCTTTTTTATACCATGATGAGTAAACAGTTTAGAGTTCCATCTATAAATATTATAAGGAGTTTCAAAATCAAGTGTTCTTTCTCGTGTGCTAGCTGCAAATTCTTTACTTTTTGCAGAACGTTTATGATGTCCTTTGTGTCCTTGATGAATGGGTTTTGATTCTGTTTGCTCATTTACCTAAATATAAAATTTCAAAATATATCCCTAAAATAATAAAAAATGTAGCCAAATGTTATAGTGATGTATCTTACCTTGTTAATAATAAAATAATAAATAATTTTTATTGTAAATTCATAAATGATGTTCATTTATTATCAAAATCAGATATCATTATCAAATAAAAATTTGCACGTAAATTCTTACATATCTATATGGTTAAAATGCAAATTTATAATATTGATATTTGTAATTATGATTTACAAAACTTGGCACCATAATTAAATAAGTATCAATCATACTGCTTTTTAAGCTTATAAAACTTAATTCCATTTTAAAAACATTGTTATCTTTATTACAATAACTATTCTTAACTGAAGATGGCTCAATGATTCAAAATGAGTCAAAAATGTTTTTAAAATAAAAATTAAGATTGGTACCTTAAAAAGCAGTATAGTCAATATTTCATATGTATAATTTATTTATTTATANAAAATTATATCCAATTTTCTATTTGAATTTTTATAAAAATATCTAAATTTAGATTTGATGGTTATACAAATCTTATAAAATAGAAATAATTTATCTGCTACATGCAACTATCACTTTAAATCTTCATTATGAAAATATCTCTAGATGCAATATCCAAGTTCACATTTCTTTTAATTCTGATTATTTTTTGATGTAGTAAAATTTTTTCAAAATGCCTACAGATTTTAATCTCAATGTTTGACAATGTCAGATTTTAAACTTAATGTCAAACATTGAGATTAAAATCTGTAGATAAAATGCTGTTGGTGTAGATTTATAAAATCTATATTTCTGTCAAAGACAATTAAATGTAATTTTTTAAGAAGAAATAAAATTCTAACATAATACAAAACAGAAAACAATTAATTTAGTGTTTGAAAAAATTTTGTAAAGTATAACATTTGAATTTTACTACATTTATACAAGATTTATTTTAATGTTTGTAATTCATAATTGTGTGAGCCTGCAGGCCTATCTACGGGCCTGAGTGGAGGAATGAGCGAATTTTGCACAAAATTACGACTTTTTAATTTAATTTCTTAATGCAATTGTTATTAAAAAAAACATTGCTCTAGAAGGGATCAGACGACATTCTCTCTAAACAAACGGAGAAGAATTTTGACAAGATGGCAAAAGGAAAACATTTAATTATGAAAGAGGGACAGCTGCTATTAAACATCATCGGAAGAAACCTATGCACGCACCTGGGAGTGAACTTTCGACATGTCAATAGTCGATCACATGATCATTTTCCCAGGCATCAAGCATAAAAGGTGGAGACACCGAAGTTCTGGGCAGTCGTCCCATACGATGTCCAAAGGAGGTGAATAGATTAATTAGTGCCCAATGACTAGGTGCCAAGTTCAGTGGACCTCCACAAATGGACTGTCCTGGCTCATGCAAGTCAACGATAAGAAGACCCACCATACAACTGCCAGTTCTCTTCGAATTCCTCTCTCTCCGATCGAACAAACGTCATCTAATTTGACCAATGAAGATTGAGGCATCTAAAGATTATTGTAAACTCTCTCTCAGTGGACATAGCGACAGAGCTAGGTCATTAGGTCAGCATGAGAGCTGATTAGAAACTTTTGTCAATCCCCTCCAGAGGAGTGTATATGTAACCTCATTTAACTGCATCTAACTTAGGCTTAGTTTTATGTATCATAGGTTTATTTATATAATAAATTCTTGTTGTTGTCTGTTAAAAACCTGTCTCCTGTCACTCCAAAACACGGACACTTGTCAACTTTCCCAACCCCCTTGCCACTCAGAAAAAAGCCATCCCAAAGACAAAGTGGGTGTTTTACCAACTCGACGATTAGAGGGCTCAGTTCCCTCACCCGTATTCTCACAATTGAATCTTCAATTTTTTAAAATCTTTTAAATTCTGCTTTATTTAAGAATATAATGTTTAGGAAGATGCATTAGTAAGTGCATGTCTACTGGGTCTTTTGATTCATCTTCAGAGAGATCATTTTGCAAAAGTGGCATTTTAAATTTATAATTTCAGATCCCAAATTTTAGAATCTATTGGAAAACCTGTACATTGAGAAGTACCTTTACATCATTTTCAGTTGCAAATGTCACTAATATTGTAATAATTTAAACTTAAATCATCAACTAGGACATATCTATTATTAGGACTTACTATACTGGCTAACTGGTACTACAAATTAAGTACACAAAGTCACAAAAGCAGTCTTTATTTATCACCTGAACACATACATGATAACTTTGTGTTTTGGACTTGTTGGTCCCATATTCAAAACACAAAGATATCGTATATGTGTTTAGGTGATAAATAAAGATTGTTTTCGTGACTTTGTTTACTTAATTTGCAGTACCAGTTATCCAGTATAGTAAGTCCTAATAATAGATATGTCCTAGTTGACGATTTAAGTTTAAATTATTAAGTTAAGGACATAAAGGCATATAAATTGTCACTAATACTGTGGTTGGTATGCCCTTTAGGATAGAATAACAGTGCTCCTTGATACTCATGTTAAGAGACTGAGCTGTTGCTCCAATGTAGATCCATTTCTTGTTGTCCATAATGGGGATAGAATACACCCCAGTAAATGTTACCTGTTAATAGGGTCTTTGGCATTTCTAACACCCAATTAGGAACTAGACCAATCTGAAATATCTGAAGAAATTTGAAATTTACAAAACTATTTTTTGGAATTCTGCAATAAATTACAGAGATTCCAAGACATTTTCTAAAGATGGAAGTCCATCTTTGAAGTAAATCTATAATTTAAGTCATATCTTTAAAATAGTATTTGTTTTACCTCATTATGATCTCAGCACTTTCCACCAATAAAATAATTATCCCATTTTGTTTAAAGATGTTCAAATTTTCACATATATGTTTGACTGCTTTTTAACTTGATGATGATGTTTTAAAATCATCAAAAATGTTTGCTTTTTGTTTTTATTCAGTAAAGTATATTTTTTGAGAGATATTACTGGAATCATTTTGTTATTTTGTGTAATTTTTAAAATCATAAATTGCTACAACAGATATAGTCATACAGTTATTTTTCTACAGTAAAGTCTGTGGATAAGAAAATACTCTGTATCTCCTTTACATTTTAACCTATAAATAATAATATATAAAATAGTTCATTTAAAAATAAAAGTAACTCACATTGTATTTCATTTCATATTTTTTATCAGCATGACACTGTAATAGCCAATAATGTTTTACTCCAGTTTCTACATGATCATCATTGTGAATTTTTGTACGATATGCAGTAAGAGCAAAATCTGGAAAGTCTTTATGAGTTACTCCAAGATTATATTCTTTAGTTTCAGAATTTACTTTTAGATCAATATTATATTCTCTTGTATATTTTGAACCTAAAATTTATTTAAAATTTCATTGATTAGATAATTTAAAACAGTGAATTATTGTCTAATATTTTTATAAATAAAAGAAATTTTGAAAATAACCTGGAGCACTATTTTTCAGTTTAATTTCAAATGAACCTTTTTCATTGTTCCGAGTAGTTATTTGTAGTGTACTATATTTTAATTCACTGAAAATAAAAAGTTTTTTTTATTAAATCAAAATTATGTCTGACAATTTTTAATTTTCATTAATTAGTTTTATTTCTGAAAGCTTTATATTTAGTTTACATAAATTAAATAGAAACTAAATTGTATATTTTTTAATTTGAAGATAATTACTTTAATATAAAGACACTTATAATGTCAAAACTGAAATAAAAATATGTAGAAATTTGACAAATTTCTGATATGTATTTTATGACTGCATTGTTGATATGTAAAACTATCAGAATATGCAGTAGCTAACAAAAATCTAGTTAAACCTACACTTTCATCGTGGATTGCATTGAAAAACCAATTATAAACATTTAACTTAAGATAAAATCATAGATTTTCAAATTAGAAATACTCTACATTAATACTTAGTTAAACTGCAAATAGTCTTAATCTAAAACATTTCTTCAATTAAAAGTTGTACGAAATAATGGATTATGATATATGTTATGCAAATGCTTGTGAATCATATAAAGCTAGGATTATCTGGCTAATGCTAACTTTATCCAAGTCTCTTGGTTAAAGTAAGTAACAATTTTTTCATTTTGAATTTTATCTACATAAACTGGATTATGACTTCTGACTGTGCGTAAGATTCCCATGAATCTTACTAAATAGCTTGAGAATAGTCCAATAATAGTGTCTGAGGAAGTAAATGGATACAAGGCTTAACACATTACACATTTATTTAACATATATCTTTGTATGTACAGAACAGGGCCAAAAGAGCAAGGTGCCCTTGGTTTCACAGCTTATATATTGGACAGCCAAGCTTTTGGGAGCTGCGCTTGATGCGCCCTTTACAAGTCATGGTAAGACATGACATGACATGACACTGTGCTACTGGTTCACATCAAGTAACATATTATGTTCAGAATTCTCATATGTATAGGTCTTCCACAAGTGCATTCCACAAGTAGAAGGCATTTGTGGAATCTGTATGCTGCTTCTCATGCATTTTTTCTTGTTTTCCCATAAAAATAATCATTTCTCAGTACTGTTCTTTAGTAAAAGGCATTACCACAGTGTTCAACCAATTAGTCAGATTGCATGATGATGGCTCTTTAATAGAGATGTCGAAAATGTATGATGCTACATGATTTGTCAGGATCAAATTTGCATATTGCCACAGAACTATAGTACAATTTATACATCTCTGTTGTGAATAAATGAATTTATTTTAATTTAACTATTAATTTATTTTATTGTAAACACTGCAGTAGACCTAATGCATCATATGCATATACTCATACAATGCTGGAAAAATCTCTTTTGCCCCTGGATAAATGTTAAAGTGAACATCTTGTATAATAACTGTAAAATTTTAGTCTGTTTTAAATATAGAAAAAGATATCTGTTTTCTGATAAAATGGGATAGTTATTGAATTATATTGTCAAACTGAATTTCACACACACACACACATACCCCCACACTAGTGTGTGTGTATGTGTGAAATGTGTGCAAGTCAACTAGAACATAAACAAAGGATAGATACTTATAATCCTAAAAATATACTAAAGAAAAAATTGAAAGTATTATGTTAAAAAACACTGAAAACAGAGATAAAGAGAGAATTTGAACAGGATTTCAACAAAAGAACATAATTCTTTTATTCGAGTTCTATTAAGAGCAGTTAATATATTTCACAGAACTTGATGAAATTTTAACTTTACAAACAATATACAATCTTAGTTCAATCCACCAACAAGATTTTAATGCAAGAAAACAAGTTTGTTTTTTGCACTAAAATCTTGTTACAGGATCAAACTAAGATTTTTTGTTGTTTGTAATGTTAACTTCAAGTTCTATTTTCATAATTTTTTTTATAGTCATACTTAATGAACAGAAATATGTATTAGGAAAAAGATTAGAACTTTTACATAAAGAAAACTTTCAAATATAAAAAAAGGAAGAAAATTAATTTTATAAAATACAAAAAAACTACTGAGGTGAAGTAGTAAACTTTCAACTTACACTGGTTGGACTGACTGACTTTTTTTTTTTGGACAAAATTTAGAAAACTTAATTGATAAATGTTGAGTCTATTTTATATTAAAAAAATTTTAATGTATTCAAATTAAAATAAAATTCAAATTCAAATAATGGCAAAAGTAATAGTCAAAATTAAAATAATTTCTTTAATATGAAGAATACTATTGTCTTTTAACTGGCATTTAATAATTTTTTTTTCTTTCTTTTGTTGTTCCTATATCCTGTTCATTAACACTAGCTTATATGATTAAATTAATTTATGCAACATAATATAAAAAATACTGACTGAAGTGTTAATTCAATTTAAATTCAAAAAGTGGATCAGCTTAGTTCACTTTCCAAAACAAGCATAAGTCAGTTTCTGACATCATAAGCTCTCTCTGAGATCCTGTCTTATATTCAAAATATAGCAGAAATTACTAATAGAACATATTTTGAATAAGAAGAAACTGATTTAAAAATTGGTCTGAGAAAGAAATTTTAAATATTTTAAAAGAAAAGATTGATAATTTATAATGAACTAAGTGTAATATAATCTTTTATGAACCAATGGCTCAAAAAATATGGCAAAATAAAATAAACTGCTTTAAATTTTGTAGTGAAAACAAATAATTATCTTTGTTTCCAGCAATGTAATTTAATTAAATCCTGTTTAAATATTAATTCTAGTTACAAGTTTCCAATATGAATATGGTATAACAAACATCTAATAAATATATTTGTAAGCAGTAATGCAACATATAAGTTTGTAGATCACTCCTATTAGGAATGGTATATGAACTGTATTTTCTTTAATATGTAGTAGATAGCAATGAAAATGTTGTAATAATACTGTACATTTTACATCAAAATATTATATTACTTAATGAAAACAAAACTGACATAAAATAAATAAACTATTAAGAATAAACTTGTAAGATTGCACTGGAATTTTATGATAAAAAATAAAATAAACCCACTAAGTTGCCCAAAATGCCATTAATCAGATAAAAACAGATGGTGTGAATGAAGTCACTCCATACTTCCTATTTTTATTAGAAAACTTTGAAATGCATTTGTGAAAGCAAATTCACATCAAAGAAATTCATAGAACCAGGATTATTCAATTTGGATAAGAAAATGAAAAATTGTACATTGTACAAGTGGAGGAAAAGTCATAATCACTTTGATCTAAAAGATAAATTGTGCACTTTCATAAAATTACTTCAGAAGTCTGATCTCTTTGAAGAAAAATAGTAGGTCTCTAAAAGAAATCTGGGAGATGTCACAAAGGCTCAAAAAGCAATAACTCAAATGAATATGTCTACCTAAGCAAAGTTCTGCATACTCATAAAGTTTCAATCAGCACAAACATTTATTAAAGTGACCAAAACCAGTCACAATATCAATCGAAAACTAAAAATAATTTTTGCCAAAAGCTGGAAAATCCATAGTTGCAACAAACAGGCTAAGCAAAAATGCCTTACTTTGCTTTAGACCATGAGTTATTCTCCACTGCTTTGAATGACCAGAAATAGTTCAGTCTTTGTCAGCTCCAGAAAAAAATTACTTGAAGAAATATTAATAGCTGGTTCAAGTCTAATAATATGGTAGGAAGCTTCTTGCTTGGCCAATAGATTTGCATACTTTCATTGTCAACTATTCTCTCATGCTTTGGCATTCATAAGAGAAATATTCTATTGCAGATAGCTAGTTCAGTAAGACAAAAACAAGCAGCAGACTGCTGAAATAAACTGACAAGAGAAGTGCCTTCAAAGCAAGCTGACTATCAGAAACAATTTAGATAGCCTTATTAAAAAATATCTATAGATAGTAGTGCAAATACTAAATTATAGCCCTGTTAGCTATTATTTGGTGTGTTTGCACCATTTTAACAAAGCTAAGTAACTCTGTAAATAAACTGACTAATAATCAAATTTTGATGATGATAAGCTGAAAAATTTTCAATATGATAAATACATAATATTGTTTTAAAATTTAATTTATTGTTATAATTACATATTAATATATATCTATATATATAATTGTGAATTATACCATTTTATTATAACTTAAAAGATTGTCAAAATTGCCTAATTAATAAAAATCTTTTATCATCATAAATATAGATACTTCTTAACTACTTTTAACTACTTCATTTTTACAAATTACCTGTCATATTTTTCAAGAGAATATTTAGATTCAATTCTGCCAAAAAGGAAAGTTGATGTTTTTAATTCATCTGGAAGATTAGGATAATATTTATAATGGCACAGTTTCACTCCGGCCACTTCATTAAAGTTCTTCCCAGTACATCCATCATGTTCTTTTATAAAATTTTCATCAATAGGAATATCTTCAATTTTATCACCAAATATTTCTTGATTTCTCCGACTATATAGAAAATACATTAAAATTGAAAGTAAATTAGCAATTACAAATTTTGAAAGTTTCTTATAATAATTTTTCTACACAAGACATGTTAAATGTATATTAAATATAAATTAACATTACATTAAAAATATATTGAGTATAGTAATTAAGTGATCAGTGGCATAGATAATTAGTTGAAGTTCTAAAATTTGATAATCAGGCTTGTAATTATTAAACACAATGTTTGTCTGAAAGAAATCTGAACCATTTTTCTTAGGATTGACTTTAGATTTTATTCATCTCTTTATAATACTTAAGATTTTTACTTACTTCATATAAGATGTTACTTATGCCACTGTAAATAATGCAAAGTACTAAATTTATTTCTGCTAAACAGTATTACCTAATTAATCTAATATAGTATTTGCTTTTTAATTAATTTTAAAAATAAAAAGTTTGATTAATTTATTTTAAAAGTTAAACTTACTATAATTCAAAATATTTTTGTTTCTTTTCTGGCACTTTTGATGTAATTTCATGAAAATCATGAGCTTCAGAATGGTGAAATTTAAGGTCAGCATTCCAGGATGCATGTGTTGAGGTATTTCCTCGGAGTCCAATTTTTGTAACAGTTGGGAATTCAAGAATCAACTCATCAATTACAGAATAACAATAACTGTAACAAATAAATTTATTTTTCAAGTGTAATTTAAAACATTAATAAGCTTTATTATTACAAACTACCCACCCACCCATCCAATATTGACCTCAATCTTTCATAAATAGTAGAAGATGAACAAAATTTATTTGGATTAATATGTAATTCAGATAAGCACAGATTTAGATTAAGAAGAGTATCCTGTATATATTAAATATTATTTTAATTTTATAAAATAATTTTGCATGATAATCTCCTTTCACTCGCTGTTCAACAGTAATTTTTTATGACAACTGAAAGTATTGACCTTTTAGCAGAGAGGGAACAAAAGAAGCACGACTTTGTCAATTGGACCCACATGTGGTCAGGCAATATACCACTTGTAAGGTGTTGACTTGTAAACAGAGGGAAAACAAAGGAAGTGCCGACTTTGTCAATTGGACCCAGCTGTGATCAGACGATAAACCATTTGCCATATGGTAAACAACTGAATGTAAACAAGTGGCAGACATTTATGTAACTCCACTCTCATCAGATGACGGCGGGCCTGAGTGTAAGCTGTTCAAGCAAGAAGGGGTTGTGATTGGTCGGAAGTCCCCGTCCAAAAAATCCTTAAATGGCAGGGCAAACGAGAAAGGAGGAGAGAAGGGCAAGAGTGTACTGATACACGGTAGTCTCAGGCACTTGGGATACCCGCTGAGTGTAGAGAGTATTCTCTTCTGGTAAACATCTCAGGGACAGGTTAGTGCGGAGATTAGACTGACCGTGCAGTTTAGCCAACTCCACAAGCTGACTGAGGCCTCTCCAAAGTTTAACAGTTTCCAAAAACCAATCTAGTACATGAGTCACCATGCATTGTAATCCTATGTTTATATTATGTTTTCGAACTTGTACTTCTGCATATAGAATCTGTAAATAAACTGTAATTATTATCAATTTGAGTGTGGATATGTTCTTTCCATCGAACATGGATCACTACATCAAATCGTGATACAGGGAAGCCAACTCAACAAGACGGAGTTTGGGAAAGAACTTCACTAAGATCTTCACTACAACCATAGTATGTAATATTTGCATTTTCTATATACAGTAATTCTATATAATATATATAAGATTTATGCATATGCAGATGTTTGTTATCATTAATTGACTTCATTATATTTAAATTAAAATTATTACTAGCTCATAAGTTAAGCCATTAAACATATTAATGAAAATAGTGTGAAATGGCATAATTGTAATAATAAACACTTTAAATTGATAATTAATTACAGTACAGTTAGGCTAACAGTCTAAGACAAAGATGTGAAATAAACCAGAACAGAATAAATAATGTAGAGGTTTAATAAAATAAAGACACTGAGTTTAGCGTTACATGCATACGTTTTTTTTTTGTTTTATCGCAATTTAAATATTTATATTTGAATATTTGTTTTGTGTTCTTAATGGCTTTGACAAAGTTTCAACTTATATTTTATGTGTTCTATTCTACATCGGATTATTTCTGTTTAATTTTTTGGTAAATCTCTGTATTCGCCTGATGATGACGACTATAAGTTCATTGAAAGTGCTTGCGATAAAAAAAAAGAAACATATGCATGTAACACTGAACTCAGTGTCTTTATTTTATTATACAATATTTTGGCATGATAGTCATCCTATTGATTAATGTAGAGGTTGGATGACATGAAAACATTATTAACATACAATATTCACATGTCAAAATTTTTCATATCAAAGTGTTAAGATAACATTTAAGTATACCATTTTTCAGGCAATAAAACATTTTATTGCTTGAAAAAATTTGAATTAATAGGCGAACACAAAGAATTGAAACTGCTTTAAGCAGGTTTTAATTGTTTCTGTTCATTGAAGAACAGAGGAAAAATATTAAAAAAAATTATTAAAAAATTATTATTTGATGGAATCATTCTTTTTCTTCAAATAATGAACTGATACAAAAGCTAATAATACAATAATTAAGGATACAGATCCTTAATTATTGTACAGAAGGATTTCTCTATGTTATATAAAAGTTGGCTCAAAATTTAGTTCTAATTTATATATAACATAACAGTAAAATCTCTTTCAGTCCAAAGATATTCACAGGAAAAGGCCAGGAGGAATAGTTACCTCTCTTTCTTGAAATTTGCTTTTATTGAATAACAATTTTATAGATATATATACTTGAATATAAATCTTCATTATATAAATAAGGTTTATATTCACATATGCCTGTTTAACACATCTTTAACAAATTAAGTATAATATAAAAAAGAATAGTATTATTAGTAATTCTTTCTTATAAGTATTATCATATGAACAAACTGTACAAATATTAAATACAAGAAACAAAAATTAATCAGTAATAATGCATATATACAGGATAGTTCATTTTAATCAATCCATTTGAATAACTCAAAAAGTATACATTCTACAAAAAAATTCATTATAACAAAATTGTTAAATTTTACAGAGACTACAAGATAATGTTACAATTGGCAAAAATAGGGTAAACTTCATTTTCTTAAATGGTATCTCCAATTTTTATTGCATATTATGATTCTACATAAAAAATAAACAAGGTATTATTTGGTGGAATCAAGATCAACATCTCTTTATCACAAGCTTGATGTCCTTAACACACTGTGGCACAAACTTTTGTATCAATTCATTATTTGAAGAAAAAGAATGATTCCATCAAATAATAGTTTCTTAATGAATTTTTAGTATTTATCCTCTTTACTTCAGTGAACTTCACAGATATCCATAGATGTGTAAAGGTACTGTGGTAGACACACAAAACTTCAAACACTCATAACTTCTAATAAGAGCATCTTTTAGAAAAAATGTTTTCAAAAGCTTGTTTACTTTTTTATATAGAGTCATAATATACAATAAAATACTCATTTAAGAAAATAAAATTAATTCCATTTTCACCAATTGTAGCACTAAGTAAAATACACCAATGGCCCCTGTAAAATTTAACAATATTGGTATATATTGTTAAACTTTACAGGGGCTATTGAGTATCCCCATTTTTTTTATTGCATATTATGATTCTATATAAAAAAGTAAACAATTATTTTTTATATGAATTTTTTATAGAATGTGTGTTTTTTGAGTTAATCCAGTGCATTAATTAAAATGAACCACCCTGTATAATTAAAAGTTCTTTACACTTTTAATGAATATTACCATAATTTACCAGTATTAAAAAGAAATATCCTTAAATACTTGCTTAATAGTAAAATTCCCATATATCCTATTTCACAAATAACATACCTATGAACAAGATTGAGATGCTGTGTCTGGTCCCCAACATTTTCAGTAGCATCAATTTTGATACGAGGGGAAATTATATTTATGGCATTGCTTCCCCATGTTAGTGGTAATCCCATGGATGTAGGTACATGATGATATGATTCTCCTATTTTTAGAGTGCGTGTATAATCATATTCTATACCTTTACGTAGTGATTCTCCAATGTTCTGATTAGAAATCCAGTGGTATTGAGTAGTTAGAAAAGAGAAGATACCATTGAGAGTAACAAAAGCAAGTTCATTTCCTATTAAAATAATATTATATTAATGAATACATTTCAGTAGCTCATGGATTTCATTATTTTGTTGAGTATAATCAATTTAAATAAATTAATTTACTATTATTAATAAATTTAAACAATTTTTTTATTTTAATTTGATTTTAATTCATGTCTAAATTAATCAAAAAATAAATAAAATAAAATGTTACAGATAAAAAATAAACAAAAATAAATAAGAATTTGAAAATTTTATTTATGTAATAAAAAGATTAAAATAGATTTCATGTTTATAAAATTTATCAATACTAAACTTATTTACACAATAAAATTTGGAGTGATTATAAATTTTCAAAGTTAAAACTGGAATTTAATTTCAAGAATCATATGACTATTGTTTTATAATCTCACAGATTTTAACTAATAACCTTCGAAATAATTTTTTATCATAATTTATAATTTCCTGAATTGTTGTTATGAATAATTATCATACATACTTGTATATGCCACCCAGAATAAAATATTGTACAAATAAAAAACAAAACACTTCTGTATGTTTGAGAAGTTCATGAGTTATTGTCATACTATCTATCCAAATTTCATTCTTGATTTATGAGAAAACAAATTAATCACTGTGAAGTTAATTTGATTTTACTACCATTGATCAATATGATTAATGTGAGGTCAATCTTCATATTGTTGAAATTTAAAATATATTACTAATCAAGTTATCTTTATGAAGGCATGACTCACTAATACAGTGGGTTAGGTCCAAACTACTGCTGTAAAGCCAATATCTCTGAAACACAGTCTTTTTTTCACTTTCCAGTACATATAAAAGCTTAAAAACATATTTACACTATTAATGTGGATGAGGATTGTTGTTTAATTGCTTATACAGCATGACCCATACATTGGGCAGGTCAAGAGTGGGAGTGTTGTATGCATCTGTGATTGCCATGAGAAGAGACTCCTATATAAAGACAAATTTTCAATTTTTGCAGCACTTGAGCACTGTTGCTTGGGTCCATAGTGGGTTGTAACCCTGCTCAAGCACCTTTTTTGTAAGCTTGGTGATATGCCTTTCCTTCACTACATCATCTTGGTGTTCTGCTAGGTGGCTAGCAAGCATTCTTGTAGTGGCCCCAATGTACTTTGTATTTATTCCTGTTGTGAGATTCTTCAGTGGTACAGCAAAGACTTCCGATATGCAGGCTCATCTGCAATGATTGGGATAAGTTCTCCACTTTATAAAAATCAGAGGTCTATGCTGTACCGCTATATACTTTCTATAAACGTAAATAAATAAATATAAATAATTTATATGTAAGATAAAAATACCAATAGAAAATTAATAAAAATACA